TTTTTTTTTTTTTTTTTTTTTTTTTTCAATGAAAACATATTAAAACGATCATATTCCTGATCCCCATTGACCCATTATTATCATCATTTCAATAAATTATTATTATTATTATTATTATTATTATTATTATTATTATTATTAGTATTATTTCATCTTCCTTATTTAACATTCGAATGGTTTATTATTATTATTGTTCGAAGACGAAAATAAATTTAATGATTTATTATATTTTTTTTCTTATGGAGGGAGGTAGGGAGGAAGGGAGGGAGGAGGAGGAGGATTCCTTTAACAGTTGGCAGCAATTAAAACGCTCATATCCGATTTTTTATTTTCGAAATTTTTATTATTATTATTTTCCGGTTTTAATTTTTTTTTTCTCTCAAATACTTTCTTTCCCTTTTTCTATTTTACAATCGAATTTTATTATTATTATTATTATTATTATTATTATTATTATTATTATTATTATTATTATTATTATTATTATTTTATTATTAAAAAAATATTTATTTATTTAAAAAAAAAAATTTTACGGTTGAGTAGACGTTACGAGTAGTAACGACATAATTAACGACCTTGACTTATTGATTAATAAAATCGACCAATTATTATTAACTCTATTAATTATTTAATATTAATAATAATAATAATAATAATTATAATACTTTAAGTGTAAATCGGTAAATTATCGTCATCATCATCATCATCATTATTATTTTGATTTCAGACAGAAAAACGAGGGAAAACGATAAATTTTTGGCGCGCCATTTTGTAAATAAAAATTTTGAAAAATGAATTTTTATATAAATTTTATTTTTTTGATGTTGGCAATAACGATGTTTGATGAAAAAACCGTTCGAGCGGCACCTGCAGTTTCGTGAGTAATATTACGAGTTTGGTTTTTTTTTCCGTTTTTTTTTTATGGATTTATTTCGGTTGTTATCGTTTTTAAATTGATTACTTTTTAAAGGCACGAAGATATCAGAGACGCCATTTTATCTTTGGTCACGATATTTCGCGATAATAGTGACAAATTAGAAAGGCATGAATTTCGTGAAAGACAGCTGGGTGAACAACTTAAAAAAGCGTTGGCAGGATTGGATAAACGTTATAAAAGTCAAGATCAAAATTTGGATAAGTTAGTCGCTTTGATGGTTAGATTTGATGAAAAAATTAAAAATTTCGATTCGTTGTTCAAACAGGTGAGTTAAATGTTTGTGTATTTGAGTGTAGGTTTTGTAATTTTGATAATGAGTCATTTTTTTTGCCAGAGAGATGAAAGGGAAAGGATTCAATTACAAAAATCACTCGACGCCATTGATGGCGTTCAAACCTCGATAACGAAATTAATGAAAGAAATAGAAGAACCATCGACGAAAGACAGCACGACAGCTTACACGATTCAAGATACGAATAAAGAATATTTAGAATCGCTTAAAAATTCATTCGATACAAAAATAGATGCTTTATCTGCTAAGTTGGAACAGTTGCAAGTCAACATGGCGGAAAATAAAGGATCACCCGTTGCAAACATCATAGAAATTGACGACGACATAAAAGAATCCATTAAAGAAACGGAAAGAATAATAAAAAAATTCGAAAAGAAAAACGAAGAATCGCCAGAAATAGAATCGAAATGGCAGAATGATTTAACGACCGCTTTGAAAATCCATCAAGATAAATTAGACGGTCTGTTAAAACTAGCAAATAAAACATCACAAGAATTAAACACGCTCCCCACGAAATTGTTTTTGGAAGAATTAACGAACGGAACGCAAGACAGTCTCAACGAAATGAAAGAAGAATTGATGACGAAAAGCGATCAAAGCGTGAGCAAGATTAAAATGAAAATTGATGAAAGCATTTCCGGTGTTAATAACGGTCAAGATGAAATCGTTAAAACCATAACAGAACTTCAATCGATGGGAGAAAATTTATACACGGACATAAGTAAAAGTTACGATCAATTACTCAAAGAAATAAAAGGTTTGTCCAAGATGGAACAAGTCATGATTCAAACAGCGGACAACGTTTTGGACACAAAAAGAAGAATCGAATATGGCGTCCATCAAATACTCTTGGAAGTCGGCGACCTCGTTAAAATCCAGAGTAAAAATTTAAATTCTACGATAAATAAAAGATTCGACGACATCGAAGAAACCATACTCGACAATCAAACGGGTGCGTTGACGAATTTGAGTACGAAAATCGAAACGGAAATAAGTCAGGTATGGAGACAGATAGGTATCATGTATCAACAATTGACGGCATCTGCTGACACTTTGGATAAACTTCAACAGCAAACGGATACTTATGTGAACGGTAGCGTTAAAACGATGGATAGCATGGAGGGAAAAGTTAGTAAAATAACAAATAGAATGTCGGAAGTTGATGAAAATTTAAATTACCTCCTTGGAAAATTATCTCTCGTCACGTCCGAATTCAATCAGATAAAATCCGGTCTCGCATCCGCTTTGGACAACATCCGTAATAGTTTCTTAGATGCTCATAACGAAATCAAAGATTCCGGTCCTGGACCTAAACCTATCGATAATGACGTCATATCAATCATCAATTCCGATTCTTCTTCTTCTTCCAGTTAGTCTCATTAAACTCCGCCATTCACTTCTTTACACTAAAAAAAACAATTAAACAATATTAATAAACTCAAATACTAAAATCCTATTGTTTTATAAATCAATCAATCAATCAATCAATCAATCAACGACTACTCCATAAATCAATAAAATCAATTAATTATAACACAAAAACCGACTGAATAATAATAAATTGTCATTTACAATCACGATCCAATTAAAAACTCGCAGCAGCTGAGAAATCAATAAATTTATTAACTATTTATTAAAAAAACGAATCGTTCTTATTAATTAATAATAATAATAATAATAATAATAATAATAATAATAATAATAGTTTTATACGTTTATAAAGAAAATATAGTAAATTTTTTTATACATAAATAAATAAATATTTATAAATGTAATCTTATATTCTCGTATTATTAATTTTTTTTTAATTTTTATTAATTATTAATGAGTGTGATTATTATTATTATTATTATTATTATTATCATTATTAATATTTAATAATAGTTTTTTTTTTTATACGATGGATTTTAATAAATAAAAATTTTTTAATAATGTAATTAATTATTATGATTTTATCATATCGTTTTCGACTCGTGATTTGAGTAAACCTTTTGAAATTTTTACACGTGCACACGCACGTGCTAAGGAATAAAAGTCAAATAATGAAATAAATTAATTTTTTTTTTTTTTATAAAAAAATACAAAAAAAATTTTATTGAGGGAAAAAAATAATGATGATAATAACTAATAAATAATTATCGCATTCTTGTCGTTTGTTTTGTTTTTTTTTTTTTTTTTTGTAAAAAATTTTTTTCTTTTCAATCGTCAATTTTATCATTACAATTACAAAAAAAAAAAAAAACTGTACTCTATACAACTATACAAAAAAAAAAAAATGGGGGGAGGGGGGGAATATACAAAGGATACAATTACGTTTTAATTACTAAGAAAAAAAAAAAAAAAAAAAAAAAATTAACTGAAATGCAGATCTCACCATCTTTTTTTTTTTTTTTTTTTTAATGCGTTCGTTCGTTCGTTCGATGAATCGATCCATCGATCGATACATCGAAACATCTCTAAATCAGAGTTTTTTTTTAAATATTATAACTTTGGCAAGGAAAAGTGGATACGGTTTACGTTTAATTCGATGGATTCGGGGATTCGAAGCGTGCGTGATAGAAAGTTTTTCCTTTTTTCCTTTTTGTTTTTAACGACGAACCTGTACACTCTTGAGTTATTTTCAAGGAAACATTTCCGCATTTTCCTCATCGTCGCTATAATTTTGATATAAGCTTAAATTTTTATCGACGTCGCTGTCCTCGGAATCCTCGTGAGTGAGCGCTTGTATTCCCTCTCCCGGAAGGCACAATTCTTCTTCTTCTCTTCCGTTGCTCACGTCATCGTCCGAAAAACACATAATGTTGTTTCGATCCCTGAACGGTTCCTCTTCGCTGTTGTTGTCCAAATTGTTTGGAAAACTGAATTTTTTTTTCGAAAACGTTTTCGACGATTCCAAACCCACGTTTCCCAATCTTCGCTTGAGAAGGTTTGGCAATATGCTCGAATTGTGAAACGCTAGTGCTGTCAGGATCTGTAACGAACAAAAATCATCTGTCAGGATCTGTATCGAACAAGGAAGGCCTTCGACTTTTCTCGACGCCAGGCACTTTCTTTTACCTTGATATCGATTTGACTCTCTTGCGACGTCGAACTTCCTCTTCGCGTCCAACTCGAACTGTTTTTTTTCGAACGGGAAAAATCTTTCCGTCGTCTTTTACCCCGAGATCTCACACTTCTTCGACGGTGATTTTTCGTTTTGTGCGTCGCCGTGACTTCGGAAATTTGAAGGGATATTTGTGAATCCAGAGATTGCCTCCTGGATTCTTCCGAAACTCTTCTCACGCTGTACGTGTAACTCTCGGAATCGTATGAATTCCTTCTCTTGCTCGAATTCGATTCCGTCATGAGATCGACGAGTGCACCTCGTCTGTCTACCAATTTCGGGACGGCTGCTATCCAATTGGAACTCAAATGCGACGCAGCGCTATTTAATTCAAATTTTAAACCTGAAATCGATAAATACGAATGATTTTTTGGGGGGGAGGGAAACACATAGAAATCCACGTGGCACGATAAAAATAAACAATCACCGACCGACTGGATCCGTGTGACTATTTTTTATGCAAAGATCTAATTTTCCAGCATTTGTTAATTCCTTCCTTTTGGCAAATGCTTGAGCGATTATTTTATGTTTTTTCAATACGATGGATTCTTCTATTTCTTTTTTTAATATTTTCCTAAAAATTTAAATAATAATATTAATACCATTAATTTGCATAAATTTCAATATTTATTGTCGAACGAACCTGTTGAAAAATCTCCTCCAGGTTTCCGCGGTCGATGAAATCCACACCCAGGAGGACATGACGATTCCTGCAGCGAATATAATGAGCAAATGTAATTGAATCATTGCGATGCTGGGCCTGGATTCCATTTGACAATCTCGAGGATCGGATTTCGAAGACAATATCGAACAGCTGGAAAAAAATATTCAGGTAATATCAAAAATAACATGGCGACACGATGGATGGACGCGAACGAAAAAAAAATCTTACAATATGTAATTTCTAAAACTTTTTTGCCAATCTTCTTCGTGAGCAAATTCGTAAATGTGACACATGAATGTGACGATGACAAATGTCAAGCAGAAGACGGAAAACAAACCGATTCTAACGATCATTTCTCTTATTTTTGCACTTGCTTTATCCGATAATATTTGCTGACTGTCTTTTTTAACATTGAATAAAAAGGAAAGACCTAAAAAAAAAGCAAAAATTTTTTTTAATAATAATAATAATAATAATATGAAGAATATTTTGTTGTTGTGGAAAACTTACTTTCTTCATTTTAATCCCTAGTTAGGGTCGTTTGAAACAATAATAAAAACTAATAAGAAATTGATTTTCTTTTATGGTACTCATTTAATTATTTTGGTAGACTCACCTCTGACTAAATAATATCCTCCCATTAGTATCGTCACGGCGATGGGAACAAGAAGGAAAACAACTCTTGCTCCCCAGTAAGAACTTCTCACGAAGCAAATCCCCGCCATGCTATTCCCATCTATTTGTCTGGACGCCATAACGGTTATCGTCAATACGACAGGTAAAGACCAAGCGACCAAATGAAAATAAGCTCCCTTTTTATCGATTCTCTCTTGAATTTTTGCTGAAAAGTTTTATTCGTTGTAAGATGTCTGACGATTGCAAACATTTACATTAAATTGTTAATATACTAACCTAAACCTCGACAACTCAAATGCCATGCGTAGGTAAATATAACAAACCAAACGCACGCGGCCATTAAAAAATAATAAATGACAACGAAAATAACGACGCATGACAAATTCTCTTCGGCACTGTAACACAAAAAATCATCATATAATCATCATTATTTCATTTTGGACAAAACGATTGAATGATTTTATTATACCTGGGCTCTGATCTTCTAAGCGTCATGTCTTTCTTACAAACAATATCTTCTCTAGCTTTCGGTAGAAATTGAGCTAACCAACCGAGATTGGAAAGTAAAAAACAAATATTTATGTAAAATATAATAACAGCCGGATATTTATTTCCAGATCTCCATTCAATTAAAAATGAAACCTTGAAATAAAATTTTAATATTTATAAACCTGGAAAACATTTTGAAAAACAACCAAGTGAAATAAACAACCTACCACTGTGAACAAGTTGCAAAATAATGATGCTGTAGCTCCCCAACCTATCATTTTGTGTATTTGTTCATACTCGTTTTTGGTAATGAGGGGATCCTCGCATTGAATGCCACAGCCATTAACGACATCATAATAAGAGTCAGCATTATCTGTTGCTATAAGAGGAGAAATACATTCTCCACTTAGGTTAGACCTTAAATCTTTCACATCATTCTAAAAAAAAAAAAAAAAAAGTTACTTCCTGATTTTAAACAAGTTTCAATGTGATAATTAGGTGTGATACATACTTTACAGGTACGAGGGAAAAATTCGGTGGCATCACAATTGATGGATGGAAATGTTGCTGCGAATAGGGGCTCTTTTAAAATTTTACATGTTGACATTGTATATTTGCATCTTTCCTGAGACAATAAGTACACTGTATCATATTCACATTTTGGTAAATAAAGGGCGCATAAAAATGGCTGAAGCGTTTGCCAACATTTAGGAACTTTTCTTAAAATTTCCCATTTGTTTAATTCTTGTTGTAAATTCTGAAATATTTTTTATATAAACTTTACGTTTCTTTATAAGCAAGCGTGATAAAAATTCCTTAATTTTTTTTTATTACTCACGTGGAAATTTTGCAATTCTGGACTTTTAAACAGATCTACAACTACATCTGAAGATATATCTGAATATGGCAGTGGTACGCCGAAACAAGTAAGATTGCTACTTGTGCATTCTGCACTTTTCCTACAGTATCCATCGTTTGAAAGCCATGTCAAAGACGATAATTCTCTGGTATTATTTTTCGTTATGCTTAAGGTATGATTGAAACTTTTTAATGATATAGCTGCATTTATTGTGATCATTAAAATAATGTTTACAACTGGAATTTCCAACATTGTATATACAGCTTAGAGTTGTAAGTTTTTAATTAATTATCAAGCATTATAGCATTTAAATCGAAGGTTTAAATTTTAAAAACATGGCACTGAACCATTTAAAAAATTTTTTTTAACTAAATTTAAACTATGGGGAAAACTAATTTGGACCACCCATGAAGGACGCTGATTCGCGGTAGTTGAAAGACCACCCACACTGAGAAAACTCCGAGTATTTTTCAAAAACTATTAAATAAGTAAATAATAATTATTTACTTAATAAAAATAATAATTATTTAATTTATAAAAGAAAAAAAGGTTTTATTTTAAGTTTTACATTGATAAATAATGAAATAACTTTTCCCTCATGAAATACTGCACTCAAGCTCTTGGAGCTAAATGTATTTAAAAAAGAGTCGTGGAATTAGAGTAATTTTTAAGTTGGCTGCACTGTCAATGCTGTTTGTTTATCTTCATTCCGAAAAATGGGGTCTTTAATGGAAGATTACGAACAGCAGTATGCTGTTTTAACTGCTGATATTACTGCTAAAATTAGCAAATTAGGCTTGCAATGTACAAGTAAGTTAAATATAATCAATCATTCGATATAACTTTAACATTTTTAAATGACGAGTTTCATTTTGTTAACTTTAGCCGACAGGAAAAAGATAGCTCAGGACATAGAAAAACATATGGAAGAAGCTCAGGAATTACTTGAACAAATGGAATTAGAAGTAAGGGAAATCGATTTTAACCTAAGGCCAAAGTATAGAAATCGCGTTGATAGTTATAGATCTGAATTAGGTCATCTTAGTTATGAATTTATCAAAGTTAAGAATACTCCTGTAGATACATCAAATTCCCAAGAAGATTTATTTAGTGAAGGATTTAGTTTAAACGATGAACAAAAACAAAGATTGCTGAGCAATTCGGAAAGAATCGAAAGATCGGGTAATCATTTGAAAAACAGTTATAGAATTATGTTAGAAACAGAAGATATTGGATCAAGCATTCTACAAGATTTATACTCTCAAAGGGAAACAATAGAAAAATCTAGAAATCGAGTGAGTTTCATTTCATTTATTATTATTATTACATAATCGTTTACTGAAAAAAAAAAAAAAAATTTTTTTTTTTAAAATCAAATTTTAATTCGCGCGCGCGTGTGGGAAAAAAAAAAAATTAAAATTTTTTTTTTTTTAAACGTTTTTATTTATAGTTAAGAGAAACAGAGGCAGAATTAGGGAGGAGTTCTAGGTTATTAAGCACAATGGTAAATAGGTCATTACAAAACAAATTTATATTGGTTATAGTGGCTGTTATATTCTTATTAATAGTTATCTTAACCATTTATTTTTCAGTCACTACTTAATTTAATAATAATAATAATAAAAAAAAAAACTATATGCTTAATGTAAAAATATTTAATCGTTGGCTTCGCATCATATATGACCATTGTTTGTTTGTTTTATCGATAAATGAAATAATATTATTGAATGCTTTTGTAAATTATCATCGATAGGTAACAAAAAAAACTGATAAGAAACTCATTAAACTCATATAATATAAAACCTGAATGCGGTGATAAACCTTAAAACCTGATTTTTTTTGTTTTTACTCGAAATGTATCGAATTAATTTGAATTTTTACATTTTAACCGAATAGTTTTTTAAAAACATTTTATGATTTTAGCGAGTGATTGTATCAAAGGTACTACCCAAAAAGACAAAACTTGAGTTTTTAATTTTTTTTATTAATACCTTTAATTAAAAACATCGATAAATCGAAAGAATTTTATATCTTATCATGTATACATATAAGAAGTTTTTCGTTTTCTTTTATAAATGTTTATTTTTTATTTATTATATTTATTTATTTATTTATTTTATTTTACGTAATTTCACGTTATTAATTTTCTTTTTTATCTCGTTATCGATCGATATATCGTTATGTTAGTCACGTTGACAGAGAATATTCCAGAAAAAAAAAGTTTTTTTTTCCCCTACCCCAAATGTATTCGATTGAAAAAATTGATTTTAGTCGTACTAAATATTATAATGGCACAATAATAATTATATTAATACTTTGCCCTTTGCCCTTTGCCCTTTAATCATTATTATTATTATTATTGAAATTATCAGTCGCGTTATCATTACATTATTAATAATAATAATAATATTATTATCATTTAGGTAAAAGGTCAAATTTAATCGTTTTTATTTTTAGTTTTTTATTTATTCATTTATTTATTTATTACATGTATGTAAATTGTTTGTTTGTTTGTTTGTTTCAAAACAATCGTTTTTAACTATCGGTAGAATAAAATAAATGTGATGATAATAATAATAATAATAATAATAATTATAATAATAAATTAAAATTATATTTATTTAATAGCGTTTGGTGTGTGTGTGAAAAAAAATTTTTTTTTTTTTTTCGTTTTTCTTTTTAATTTATTTTTTTAAACAAAATAAAATAATAATTAAATACCTATTTAAGTACCTGATTATAAATTAGGTATAATACGAAACAATAATAATAATAATTAAAAATTAAAAAAAATTAAAAAAAAAACTTAGGATTTGGCACTTGATACGTACCGAACACATATTAAATTAAATTAAATTAAAATTTTGTTTGTTTGTTGTTGTTGTTGTTGTTGTGTTTGTTACCGCGTAATCAATTTGGATTTAAATTAAAATAAAAAATAATAATAATAATAATAATATAATTAATAATAATTTTTTTTTTTATTTGAGTTTTTAAGCAGCATTCGAACAAAACAACCACAATCGATAGTCACAAAACGACGAGGACGATGACGACGACTCGTTTGTTCATTTTTTTTTTTTTTTTTTTTTTTTTAATTGATGATGATAATAATAATAATTATCGTAACGGTTTTTTCATATCCGGATATGTCGTTCCATAATTTAAAAAACAAACGATCATCGCTCTTCCGTTCGTTCGATATATCGATTTTTTTTCGAAAAAAAAAAAATTTTTTTTGTGTGTATCTCGAAAATTAGTATTATTATTATTAATTTAATTATACATTATCACAGTCTGAACTTTTATTGTTTTAATAATAATAATAATAATAATAATAGTGAAAATAGGCCACGGACGCAAGTTTTCTTTTAAATAATAATAATAATAACGCATCCATTAACAAAACGAAAAAAAAAAATTTTTTTTCCTTTTTATATATTACTAATAATAATAAAAATAACTTTTTAACTAAAAAAAAATTGATTGATTTTTATTGATTTATTGATTTTATTGATTGATTTTTTTACGAAAGCTTCGAATACATATCTTCTAATTGGGGTTTAAAATAAAGTTTCAATTGAGGTCTTTTACTTTTTAACGTTGGGGTTAATAAACCGTTTTGTACGGAAAACGGATCCGGATGTAAATAAATGTCTTTAACTTGTTCGAACGATTTCAATCCGGCTTCTTTTCCCTTTTCCAACATGTCGGTCAATATGAGTTGTTTTATTTGTTTGTTGTTGCACAAAACGGATAGAGTTCCCGGTATGTTGTGTTCAACGGCCCAACATTTAACGACATCCACGTCGGGTACGACGATTCCAACGACGCACGATTTAAGGGATTCTCCAAAAACGAATACTTGTTCGACAAATTGACTTCGAATGTATATGTTTTCTATTTTTTCTGGAACTATGTATTCTCCCTGTGAGAGTTTAAATATATGCTTTTTCCTATCAATTATTTTCAACGTTCCGTTCTGAAAAAAAAAGCATAGATAGAGCATGAGTGAAAACTACCCCTTTGGTGGTGATGATAGTTTTACGATTGGAGGATACGTACCGGTAACCAAGTACCTATATCTCCCGTGTGATGCCAACCTTGATCGTCTATCGCCGCTGCCGTATCTTCGGGATTTTTATAATACCCTTTGAAAACGTTTGTCCCTTTGACGCATACTTCTCCCTGACCGGATGACGCGTAATATTCCATTTCCGGTACGTCAACCAATTTAATACAACAACAAGAAACTGGTGGGCCTACGTGTTCGGGTATGTAATCACCCTGAACCGTTAACGTAACTGGAGCCGTGCATTCCGTTTGACCGTAACCTTCTACGACCTGTCGAGAAAAATAACAACATTATTATTATTATTATCATAACGATGACTTTGACAATTTTGACCGAATAGGTGAGAGCTTTTACCAAACATCCTAATGCACATCTTGCAAACGTAAGAACGTTTCCAGCCAAAGGTGCTGATCCCACTAGCATCAGTCTCAATCTACCTCCCAAATTTTCTTGAACCTTTTTAAATATTAACTTATCCCACAAACTATTATTTCGAATGATTCCCCTGAAAAAAACAAAAAAGGTTTTTCGTCATCCTTTCCTCCAAAAAGAACTTCCGGTCGAAAAATAAAATGGCACCTTTTTAATTCGCTTTCTTTGGCTCCCAACGCCATATTGTAAAGTGTTCTTTTTATGAAGGAACCGGAAACCTGTGAAACTACTTTGTCGTATATTCTATTTAACAAACGAGGTACGGCGGGCATGACGGTTGGTTTTAGTGCTTTCATATCTTCCGATAGCCTTTTTATATCCCCCGTATAATACCCGACGCATCCTCCGGAAATGAACAATCCGTGCTAACAAAAAAAAAAAAAAAAAAAAATTTTAACAACCTGAATACCACGTCTCATCATCAGTGCGAAAGAGGGTGCATATATGATACCTCACAACATCTTTCGAGCATGTGAGCAAGAGGTAGAAAGGACATCATACAATCCGAACTTGTCGGCCTGTGTTCTCCCAATTGTAATATGACGGCACAAACTCCAGCTACTATATTTTCGTGGGTTAACATGACTCCTTTTGGATTTCCCGTCGTACCTGATGTGTAACAAATAGTTGCGAGATCTGTATACTTTGGAGGCTGGAATGAAAAACCTGAATTCTTCATCCATTTTTTTACCACACACACTTTCTCTCTCTCTCTCTCTCTCTCTCTCTTCCTCTCTCACTTACCACTTCATTATGATTTTTATTTGCTCCCAATTCTTCGACTTCTTCAAATTTTATTATTTCTACTCCTCTCGTTTTAGCTCTTTTTAAGGTTTGAGGTTGTATATCTTTCATAACTATTAACTTTCTTAAACAGTTGGGTGCTTTATCTAATAATTGATTAACTTTTGCATCGTCCTGACACACGATAACGGAGATTTGAGCTGGAAAAACAATTTTCTTCATTAACTTTTCTTCGGGAAATTTTGTTACTTTCTTCGAACAAAACTTATATTACCTTGATTAACTATATAGGCACAAGCATCGGGTCCTAGAGTGTCGTAAAGTGGCACGATAACCATCGAATATGTATACGCTCCTTGTTCTGCCAATATCCATTCCGGACAATTCGTACTGTATAAACCTAAAAACGTTTCCGGTGATGGATTCAAACCTAGTGCGACGAGTCCTGACCCGAAATTTTTCGCCCTCAGCCAAGCTTCGTTATAATTTAACCACTGATAAGGTTTATAATATGATTCTCTCCATCCTAAACAGGGTCCGTTATCTGTTTGCAACAACAACAACAACAACAAATTCATTTAACGTCTTCTGCTGCTTTTTTCGGAAATGATTTCAAAGGGTAAATTTCCCCAACACGTGTCATCACACGCACACACGCACACCCTTTCGTTTTCCAATCGATAGGATATAACCATCATCATCATCTACGCTAGGTACCTACGTATATTTATACTTACTTGATTCTTTAGCTCCTTTTCTAAACGTGTCGTAAAGTGTTCTCGTATCTTCTGATAAATAACTAACAAATTTTCCATCTTTTGATTCTTTATAAAATTTTGAAACCCTGATCATTTCTGGGCCCTGAAACAATCAGAACAAACAACAACAATCGCAACAATCATGACAACAAAACAAAATTCTTTATTATTATTTTTGTGCCAAAGTGTTTTTGTTTTAAATTTTTTTTTTTTTACGATATAAATAATTATTTTTTAACTTCTCGGAAATTCGGGGGTAGGATGGGGGGTGGAATGGGGTCACCCCTAAAAAGAGAGTTTTAAATGAAAGGAAAAGAAGGGGTAGGTTGAACGTTTTTATAAAAAAAAAAAATTATTATTATTATTTTTTAACGGTCTTTAAGATTATGGAAAAATCTGGAAATGATTTTATTATTATTATTATTATTTCTTGGTTTCGTTTGTAGAGACGTGCGATTCTAACGTTTTATTATTATTATTATTAACGTTCGTTTGGAGGGGGGGGAAAAATTTTTTTAAAGATTTCGATGTCGGTTGGATTGATCGGGATTTAATTAATCCCGAGGCGTTCGATTCGATTTTTTTTTTCACGAACGTTTTTTTTTTTTTTTAATTAATCATGGGTGTTTGTTGTAATTTTTTTTTTAAATATTTTTTGGCGCCAAAATGTCGTCAGAAAAAAAAGAAAAAAAAAGAAAAAAATTCACTCGAGGCATTTTTATAAATTTTAAATCTTGTTTTTTGTAATACTTTTTTTTGGAGCCATTTTAATTTTTTTTTTTTTTTTTTGTGGAAACGAACAGTTTTTCGAGGGGGAGGGAGAGGGGAAGAGGGGGGGAAGGTAATTCACCGAAATTATAAGAAACGGTAAAAAAATTTAAACTTTGAGAGAAATTTTTTCCAAAAATAAAGTAGAAGGACGACGATTTTTTCCGACGAAAGAAGGAGTGAAAAAAATTCACGACAACCACAGCAACAACCACAACAACAACGACAAACAATCTCATGATTTTTTTTTCTTACTTTTGTCATCACATCCGATTGATTTGACAAATCCAATGGTATATTGATGGGTTCCACGTTTCCACAAGGCATTTTTCCTTTTTTTTTTATATATATATATATATTTAAACTTTTTATTTAAAAAAATTATTTAAAAAAAATTTTTTTTCACATCACGACCGAAAAAAAAAAAAAAATTCATCACAGACGAAAATTTATTATTATTATTATTATTATTATTATTAACGACGAATTAATTTTTTGTTATTTTTGTTCATTTAAAAAAAATTTTATTTAAAACATAAATAAAACTGGCTACATTTGAAAACAACTCGTTAGGTAATAGGAAAATGTGCCAAAGATTATATTCCGTCCTCGTGGTTCTCCCTTTTTTTTTTTTTTTTTTGGGACGATGCCCGTGAAAAATCACATGATGGGGATAAGCAAGGACGGCCCCCCCGAAAAATAGACATCGGGAGCTCCTGTGGTCCATCCACGCAAAACTATATATTTTTTGATTTATTTAAAAAAATTTTATTTTTTGTCGATTTTTTATAAACGTTTTTTAAAAATTTTCTCTCTCTCTCTCTCTCTCTCTCTCTCTCTCTCTTACATCTTTCTCTCTTTCCGGTTTTATTTTTAATGCAACAAACACATTTCGTTCGTTTTTTTTTTTAAATTTCCTGTCGGTTGGCTTTTTCAATTAATTACCCAAAAAGTTCGTCGTGGTAAAAGAAAAAAAATTCAATCTTGCAATTTTTTATATATATATAACGTCATAGAGTAACAATCCCTCTCTTTCTCTCTCTCTCTCGCTTTCATCCCCCAAAACGAGGTTTTATCTCCACCCCTAAAAATCGCAGAAAAAAAAAAAACTTTCGTACGAGAAAATTTTAAAGAAAAATTTCCCTAATATTATTATTATTATTAATAGACTTTTGTAATTTTTGGCAGAGGTCGTCGTCGTCGTCGTCGTTTTAAAATTAAAAAAAATTTTCTCTCTCTCTCTCTCTCTTTTCTCGACGTTTTTAATTATTAATGACGTAATATAATCATTATTATTATTATTTAAAAAAAAAAAAGATTTCGCAAGGGTATAAACAATAATAATAATAATAATTATCGATATCGACGCGAAACGATTATCGAACGCAATTAGATTATCGATAATAATTATTATTTTGCAAAAAAAAAAAAAAATTTTTTTTTTTATCGTCGACAAAATGGCGACCGAGGCTAAGACGACGGTGAGGTGACAAAGGTGACCGATGATTTCCTTTTCTTTCATTCTCTCCCCCTTTCCCCCCGTTATGATAATAATAATAATAATAATAATGGTTTTTTTTTAGTATGAAATATTTAATTACCGGTAAAACGGATGCTTGGTGATTTAAATCGACGAGTGGTTTTTCCGCCGTAGGTCTCGATGCCAAATAAAAAGCAGATGCAGCTGCAACTCCCGTTAGAGCCAAAGCTCCTGCGGGACCTCCTATATATCCCAAATATTGGTCCATTTCGTCAACTGCAAAAACAAACAAACGAATAAATAAATAAATAAATAAATAAAATAAAATTTTTTGATATCCGGTTCGTCGTGGTAACCATCGTGACGTTCTATAAATAATTTTTTTTAAAAAAATAAAACAGAGGAAATTAATTTTAATTCCTACCGGTGTCGTTCGTCGCAAAATTATTATTATTATTATTATTAATTTTTGTCTTCTGCTGCACTATTTTGCGAGAAAATTTCTATTTTTTAAATTCTATTGATAATAATAATAACGTCACTTGAACAAATACAGACTATTTACTGTTTTTCTTTTTTCTTTTTTTTTGATACGAATCGTGCGTTGACTGATAAAAAAAAAAAAAAAAAAAAAAAAAAAGTTTACACGTTTTAATTATTGTTCACCTTTTTCTTTCTCTCTCTCTCTCACTCTTCCTCTCTTCCTCTCTCTCTCTCTCTCTCTGTATTATTATTATTTTTAATGCGACGTAAATAAATAAATAAATAAAAAACGACCGGTTACAACAGGACTCGATCGAAATTGTTTTTTTTTTTTTTTTTTTTTCAAAAACGCAGCGACGATGATAATAATAATTTCACGTGTTATTGTTTTTTTCAGTCATTCAATCATTCATTCATTCAATCAATCATTCATTCATTCAATCAATCAATCAAACGACGCAGAAAATTTATTTTTATTAAAATTAAAAAAATTTCTTTAGAAAGTTTTCCCCATTTTATTATATATTCGTTCGTTCAGGTAAATGCAAAAAAAAAAAAAAATTCAAAATAATAATAATAATTTTCTTTCTGTCACGTGACGTGACTTCTTTGTCTCGTTTTCCGATTGGTTTTTAGACATTTTTTTCACGGTTAAAATTATTTCTACATAAATTCAGTCATCACAAAAAAAAAAAAAAAATCAATAAACCCCGGGTTTATTTTTTTTTTTTTAAAAACTATTTGAATCCGTCACGGTCTGCGTCACGATCCTTGTTTTTTTTTTTACCTCAAACAAATGAGAAAAAAACCACCTGGTTATGTTTATGCCCTTAAATTAGGTTGATTCCCTTTTGAACTTTTTTTTTTTTTTTTAAATGAACCTTAATAACCATAAAAAAAAAAACATGTCGGTCGGGTCAAGGTTTTCCATACATCAGGGAGGGTGAGAGACCGTTTAATTTTTTTTTTAAATTTAAATTATCTTTTAACGTTTTTTTTTTTTACGAACATAAAATATTATTATTATTATTATATATTTAAAATTATGGTTTTTTTTTATGTTTCAAACACTCACGCATATGCGTTTGCGCAAAAAAACGAACGCATTTGACGACAGCAAATTAAAAAAAATACAAAAAACTATAACAAATCGAACGTTAATCAAAATATAAATCAGCCGTTAAAAAAAAAAATCCGTCGATAATAAAAACCGATAATAATAATAATAATAATAATAATAATAATAATAATGATCATGATAGTAATAATAATAATAATTAATCAATCCATTGTGACGTATAATAATAACACGTTACTTCCCAAACTTTAACATTTTTAAAAAAAAAATTATGCACACACGTGTACGCGCGTATTTTTAAATTATGTACACGTGTACGCGCGTTTTCAGGTACATACGTACATAACAAAAAATAATGAGAACGAATTTTATTTTACCTGACATTTATTTTATTTTTTTATTTTTTAAATTATGCAAGGTACGAACGAACCTCTAAGGCATTTTTCATATCAACTGACCGTTTTTAAACTCCCACGACGAATAACAAACGCGAATAATAATAATAATAATAATAATAATAATATTTTAGGTACGTACGCACTCGTTTTAAACTTTTATATATCACTCAAAACAAATATGATCGATTAATTATCGATCGATCGAGAATCGACGACGACGACGACGACAACGACGACAAAAATTTGACGTTAAAAACAAACGCGAAAAAAATTACAATTACGGGTATGTTATCGTTGTTTATCATTATTATTATTATTATTATTATTATTTTCGTTTGTTTGTTTGTTTGTACTATCGATCGATTTGTTTTTTCCTTATAAAAAAAAAAAATATTTTTCGCATTAGTTTTCAGGTTAATAACGATTGTAATTCGAGTAGGAAATAACTTTTTTTTTTTTTTTTTAAATGGCGTCAAATTCCATTATAGTTAATTTCTCGGTATCAATTATATTAAAAAATTTTTTTAATTTTTTCCACGAGTTTCTATGAGGTTCTATTTAGTCTATGTTACCTAATAATATTCCTAGTTTATTCTGATAACAAAAAAAATATGAAATTACAGTCGATGATAATGATAATAAAATTAATTTTTTTCAAAGTAATAATTATGGGGGGCGAACCTATTCGCGTTTTTTTTTTTTTTCTTTTTGCCTCATTTTACGATTAACGTATACACACACACACACACACCCAAAAGAAAAGAGAGGATGATGGAGAGAGAGAGAGAGAGAGGGAAAAAGTTGGTTTTATAAACCACAAAAAGATTCTCTCTCTCTCTTTCTCTCACGAAGAGTTTACTAACCCATTGCTTTAAGCATCGAGTTCAAAAGTCTTATTTATTATTATTATTATTATTATTATCATTTTTTTTTTTTTTTACTTTCTCTTATTTATTTATTTTCCTTATTGTTATTTTTCATCATCTTCTTCTTTTCCTTCTTCTACTTCCGGTTTTAATAAACGAAAAATTGCGAGGAATTATTTATGTATGTGGAAATTTAAATTTTCTCAATTTCTTCCCACTACTCTTCGTGTGAATTTTTTAATTCTTTAATTACTTTTATGACGTAATAACGCATTTACCATATCCTATAGAGAGAGAGAGAGAGAGAGAGAAAATTTCTGGAAAGTTGCATTATTATTATTATTATTATTATTTTTTAACGGTCTTGACGTTAGCTTTATATGGTTATAGGAAAAACTTGTCGTCGAGATGAAACATGCAAGAAATTTAAAAATGGCCGCGTCGAATAAATCATTCCGGAAACGGATTTGGAAAATTTCTTCTTTTTTTTTTTACGTAAACTTTCGCGTGGTTTTTTAATTATTATTATTATTATCATCATCATCGTATTTTCTTTTTTTTTATCGAAATTATTTTCGTCATATCTTTCTCGAAACAAAACGAAAAAAATGTTTGCACAAGCAGAAAAAAAAAAGACAAAAATAAACGAAAACAATAGATTTGATTTCTCCCCCTGCCCTTCCCACCCACCCCCGCCACTCCTTATTATTTGTCAAATCGAATTTAACGTAATAATAATAATGATAATAACGACAAAATGAATATTATTTACATAAACGCGAATTTATAAAAAAAAAAAAAAATTACGAACGATGATGAAAATCTAACAATATTAGATCGCTTCGTATTTGAACTCACAGGATTATTATTATTATTATTATTATTATTATTATTATTATTATTATTATTATTATTATTATTATTATTATTATTATCATTATCATTATTATTATTATTTGATTCATTTTCGAAAACCTTAAAAAACCTTATTTTAACGACGGAATGAACGAACGAGCAAACGAACGAACGAAAAAAAAAACCTTTACGATAAAAATCAATTTGTAAACCAGACATGTGAAAAACTTTTAAAAAATTATTATTATTATTATTATTATTATTATTATTATTATTATTATTATTATTATTATTATTATTATTATTATTATTACACAACCCGATGAAAGTAATAAAAAAAAAAACGCCGTCGAACGGAAATGAATTTTTTTTTTTTTTTGTTAAACAGTCAGTGGAGCAAATTAAAAAAAAAAAAAAAAATTTAAAGTCGTAAAAAAAAATGGCGACGAGAAGGGGTCAACGTACCCTTGGGATACCACAAAAACAAAAAAAAAAATTATTGACACCCTTTAGCAATTTTTTAATTTTTTACAACGTCACGAACGGTTACTACTACGACCCCTACCACTTCTACTCATTACAAAAGTTCTCTTACAAATAATAATAAAAGGTCATTAATGATAATAATAATAATAATAATAATAATAATAATAATAATAATAATACGTAACGTAATAACGAATATCTCGCGAGTTATTTAACCAAAGTAACAAAAAAACGTATTACGTATTCAAAAAAAAATTTATGGACCTAAATAACTTTGTGATAATTCATTATTGTTTAAATTTTCCATAAAATTATTTTTTTATTTATTAATTAATAAATACATAAGTACATAAATAATAATAATAATAATAATTTTTCGCCCAAAAATCAAATTCGTTTGTTTCTTAATAAAAACGAAGCGTTAAGTCAAGGAAAAAGAAAAAATTAACTTCCGGTTACGAAAAATAATAATAATAATAATAATAATGTAAGAAAAATCACGTTTTGCGAAATCGTTAAAAACAGACAAACAAACAAACAAACAAACGGCAATTACGACCGGGTTGTTGTTGTTGTTGTTCTTGTGGTTGTTTTCTACGGTATCAAATTTAATAAAAAAAAAAAAAAACTGACACAAAACGTTACATAAAAAAAAAAAAACATATTTAGGACGATGTAAATTATTATTATTATTATGTTGTTGTGGTTGGTGGTGGTGGGGGTTGTGGGGGGGGGCGGGGGTGAGTGAGGAAACGAAGAATAATTTATAAAAAGAAATAACGTAAAGAGAATTAGGTCAAAAGATTATAATGGTCGTGTTGTACACACACACACACACAAGTAATAGGTATGAAGTAAAAAAAAAAAGTGTACACGAGAAAGAGAGAGATAGAGAGATAGATAGATAGGTAGAGAGAGAAGGAGAGAGAGAGAGAGAGAGAGAGAGAGAGAAATAAACCGACGTTAATGATTTGTTCTCAGATTGAAAGGTATATTTCGACCATTAGAGAACTCGTGATAACAACAACAACAACAAAAAACATAAACTTATGTGTGTGTGTGTGTGTGTGAAATTAAGGACAGGGCCATAACTGTTTGAGGT